GGAGAGGGAGTTTAGTGGAAGGTGGACGGAAGCGCGGGGTGAGGGTGGATGGGATGAAAGGAATCAAGGAAATAATTCATTTGTCCACAAATTAATTTTTTGAATATTATTGTAGGTTCTCAATTTTTTTATTTATATATTTTTATTAATAATTTGATAACATAAAATATATTTATCATTTCTTGCTTCGTAAAACTTTTACATATTTTTGAAATATTCTTTCCGTCTAAAAACTTTTGGCTTATGAGGTTTGACTGATTTTTTTAATTAAACTTATTTAAGTATATAGGTATAAACTAAAAGAATAAAAATTATATATTTAAAAATTACATAAAAAATCTACAAAATAAGGGTTTATCGTTTATATGACTATAAAAAATCATCAAATGACTAAAAAATATGTCAAAAAATAATTAAAATTTAATCATGTAAATAATAACTATGAAAAAATGGTAGGAGGGAAGGATAGTTTGTAGACGGAGGCGATATTTTCTTTAAACAAACCCTTTTTTTTTTTTGAGTGGTTTGTTCTTTGAGTGCGGAGGATATGGTAAAACAGCAATTAATTTACTACTACGGAAGTATTGTTTGGTGCAATGGCTCTATTTTATAAATGGAAAAACAATAAGTGGTACGTTATATAATCCGTATAAAATTCAAACCACTCTTTATTTAAAAAAGTATTCCATTTCTCTCTTCTCGATAAATATTATTCATTTATGTATTTTCATTAATTATTTGATAAACTAGAATTTACTTTTAGCATACTTTATTTTATAAACTCTTTATGCAATTTTAGAATATGTATTTTATACTTTTTATTTCTATACCAATTTCTAAATAAATTGGTGGAAATCATTGAGCGGCGAAGCGAGTACTTTTTTTACTGTTAATAATAGTACTCTCTCTATTCCAAAAAGATCATCATAGTTTGATTTTTTATCAAACTGTATTACACTTTGACACCAAATTGTGAGTAAATTATATGTAGTTATAACATATGTTTAGTCAAATTGAGTTCGTTTTGAAATATAGTTTTGATATATCACATTTTTACAACATTATAATTTAAAACTATATTTAATGTAGTTATAGTGTGGGTGGTGATAGTCACATCCCACCCAAACACTAACTTCACACCACACATTAAACTCACTCCATTAGTTTCAAAATTTATTTAATGCTAATTCAAAAAAATTATTTTTAATCCATGAACTCATATATAACATTTTGCAATTTTAAGATTTGATAAAAGTTCTAGTTTGAATCATAATATAATAATAGTTTAATAATAATTATATTTTATTCTACTAAATACGGAGTATATTTTAAATATTAAATATGATATCTTTTAAAATAAAAGTTGTAGTTTTAATAATAATTCACATTTATTAACATTGATATAAATTTTTGCTCTTGAAAATAAATAAAAGAGAATAATGGTGAATAATTTTAAAGATTATACTCTATATAAAATTTTTACGTAAAATTTATATAACCATCTATTTAAAATAATAAAATAACTATGTAGATTAAAAAATAGTGAAATAGATATTGATATAATACTTAGAAAATAGAAGATTTTATACAAAATGAATGGTCATTCAATGTATTAACAATGAAAGTTAATTTAATTAATGGAAAATTAAAAGAAGAGGCACCAAAGTTTATAATTAAAATTAAAACTAAAATATATGTTATTTTATTTGAAAAGTAATAAGATGAAATAAATGATGAATAGTTTTAACCATTGTTCTATAATGTTTTTTTAACATAATAAAGTTATATAACTTTTTTGAATAATAGCATAATAATATATGGGGTGCATTTAGGAGTGCTTTGGAAATCGATCAAACCAGCCAGTCCAATCGGTTAAACCGTGAACCAGATACAAATCTGATCCTATTCAATGAGTAAACCCGCTTTCTAATGGACCCGCCCAAACCCGTAGGAACCGGCGAGTCGGGTGACTCGGGTCGATCCGGACGGGTCGCGGCTTTTAAGCCTAAACCTGTTTTTTATTAAGTTTTAATATTTAAAAATCAAAGCAAAGGTGGGAATCGAACCCAATATCTTCATTGTATCACTCAATATACAGTTTAAATTTTCGATTGTATGTAAGAACACATTATATAATCTTTACTTTTTGAAAATATGAGTATCACTTTACTATTGAGTATTTGTTAGACATTCATAGTTTATTATATTTTTTAGTAATAATAAAAATAATAGGTTAAAACATAAAATGTGTGAGATAGTGTACACACAATGACATTAAAAACTAGATTGAGAAATAAAAACACAAATTAAAATACTTTTATTGAATAAAAATATCTAAATATAACATAAAATATTATTATTATAAACATAGTTGACCGGGTCGCTGACCTCTGGTTGACCGATTTGACCGGTCAACCCTTGACCCAATACCTCGTCCGGGTCAACATCCGATCCAGTTTTTCAGAACATTGGTATTTAGTTGACAGGTGTATTTAGTGTTTTAGCGAGCGTGGTTATCACCACCCTTAAAGTGTTGCATAATTTGACAAAAAATAATCAAACTGTGAAGTTCTTTTTTAGACAAAGAATACTATGCATACTCTTCCATGATAGTCAACTTCTCATTGGCACAGTGTCTCCGTACTTGATCACCAACCACAAATCAAAATCATTTGATTGAATGAAAAATCCCATCCTCTCCTTCTAATAAGCATAATTGGTATCGTCGAAAAGTGGTGACCTTATTGTGGATTGTCCTTCGATAACTTTGACATTGAATGATCTTCCGGCCATAATCTTTAAGATTTTTTTAGTGGTGAAGCTTTGAGAAATTCCGTCTTTGATACCACCTGTTAGATACCACGCACACCTCTAGAGGAGGGGGGAGGTGAATACAGGCATTGTCAAAATTACTAATTTTTCGTGGAAGCATTCTTGATTAAAACCTCTAACAAATCAACACACTATAAACATGAGAAAGTGAAGGTAAACGCAATGAACACACGATATATACTGCCTTAGCCTAATGCCTGCATCAATGTAGACCCCGAAGCAAACGTGCCCGGGCCTTCACTATCAACCCGTCAAACTTAACGGATTTAAAAATCTGAATACAACTCGAGATTTTTTATTCACAAGTCTCTTATCTCACCGCCAAAGCCTTGACTTCACAAGACTCGTGACTTCTTCCACCAAACATTTGATTTTACAAACGAATTGAATAGGATTTCTACGAACCTACTTAACGTAATCTCAACATCGAGTATTACAATTTCCTTATACAAAGTAAGAAATCAAACTACATCAGAATAATTCTTCAAACACGGAGTAGATTGCTGCAAATACCATGAAGTCCTATATATAAGATATGACTTAATCTCTCAAAGGCTCAAGCAATAAAGATAAACTCAAGCAAGAAATGAGTTAGCTTTCAAAACATTACCTTGTTTGGATATGAAAAGGGGAATGAGTATAATCTCTTGAGAACTCTTTGATTTGAAAAGGAAGTGTGTAATAATGGTGTTCTTTACTCAAACTCATGAGATAGGAAAGTCTATAGAAATCAAAGAGTGGATATAGATAAAAATATTAAAAAACTATCCATTTGGAGGTTGAAATTGTTGGTTTATTCAGACAGGGTCTCTAGTTATTTGAATAAGTTAGTGAGTTTTCATGGCCTGAAAAACACAATCTTTATTCAAATAAGTCCACTCTTATTAAAAAAGATAGTACATTTTCAGTCAAGGGAGAAATCACAACTTGTTCGAATAAACCAAAGATTATTCTAATAGACGAGAAACTTCTCCACACAAGGGCTGATCTAAAAAAAGTGTTGAAGGTAGGATAATAGGGGAATGAACATTAGTGATGTCATAACCTTTAACACAAAATCTAAGGCCTAAAAGACTACCCAACCAATGAAACAATGTCTTTGATCTTGATCTTTCAAATGGTGCTCAAGTCCATTCTTCATGGATGTATGAACTTGTTGAAACTCTTGAATCTTAGCCTTGATGCACAACATGATGTTGATCTTTTGTCACATTTTGTCATTATCAAAACCTAAAAGACAATGAGCCAAAGACATTACAACTATACATATTCATGATAGGACATTGTCCAACATGAGCAACACTATTAAAGTTACGATGAATAAAATAAAATGAAAAACATTCAAAAGAAGAAACAAAAGCATAACAGTCCTCAAGAAGTGAACCAAAATAAGAATTTATGAATTTAGGTTTTTTATTTTTTTTTTAATTTTCATTTAAATTTTTAAAATTACTTTCTTCATCCATTTCTTTTTATTTTTTTAAAAGATTAGTCTTACCTTATAAAAAATAAAAAAATAGATATAAAAAATAAAAATGAGAAAAATAACTAAAACCATAAAAAATTAATGAAATAGATCAGGTAACCATTACAAATTAAACTGAAACTGATAAAAAATGATATAAATATATATGGAGTGTTGGGTTTTATTTACGCAGTATACAGAGTCTTAATGTACTACTTATTTTTAGAAGAATAGGTCGACCGGTAAAGTTGGAATTATTCTAAATAACCTTTTTTTAAAACATATGAAGAAATGATACATTAATACTTTGTATAGTGCATAAAATATTAAAACTCACCACTCTGTATATTTGTATTTTATTTCATACCATTTTCAAGTTACTTTTTATTGATAATCTTATTTATTTCATTAATTTTGTATAGTTTTAGTTGTTTTTCTCATTTTCATTATTTTTTATATCTATTATTTTTTTAAGTAAGACTAATCTACAAAAAAAGAAAAAGAAATGATGGAGGTAGAAAATAATTTTGAAAATATAAAAGAAAATTTCAAAAACAAATTAAAAAACAAAATTTATCAAAAATAATCTAAACTTCCATTTTGTTGCGCAAAATAAGCTGTTTCCGTTAACCCACATTTAGCAACTTATCGGCGATCCAAAACTCACAGATTTCAATAAAATTAGGATAGTTATACATCACAATGAAAAATAAAATTATTTTTGAAAAATCAAATAAAGTTGATATAATTTTTTCCTTTTCTTATGTCATTTTCTAGAAATCATTTTTTTCCGTTTTATCCCTCCCAAAGGGGACCCTTATTGGAATTCCATCCCGCAAATAGTGAAATCGGGACCTCGTACGCTCTTGGTCCGTATTTGTTTAGGGCTGAATCAAAGTATGTTCATTTCTTCTCTCGTCTCTATTCCTTGTATCAATGGCGATTTTGATTTTATACTGTGATTAAACTATCGATCGTATTGAGTTTCTTGATTGATTGATTGATTTAGTGTAATTTGTATTGTTTGCGTTGATCGATGTAAAATTTACATAGAAATATAAATTCTTTCTCTTAGTGTCTGTTGGCATCCATTTCTCTTAGTAACTCTTAGTAAATTCTTTCACTCGCAGTAAACCAATTTATGAGACTGAACAAGTGAATCGCAAAAGAAGTAAAATTGCAATTGACATTGATGAAGTTGCTGAAATTAGTGAACTACAAATAAAATAAATTATATTTATTGCTAATTTAAAGAAAATATTTACTCTGTATATGTGAAGAAGGTTAGCCAATGATCAAAACAAACTGTGTCTTGCGTCAGTGTGTTACCCTATTAGAAATTCGAGGGTGTTTTGGGCAATTAATTGGGATTAGTCAATTAGTTGATAAGAAGGAGAGCATTGGCACAACAATTGAGTTGTTGTCGTGTGATCGTGTGGTCACATATTCGAGTCTTGGAATTAGACTCTTGCAGAAATGCAGGGTAAGCTTTGCCTACATTGCACTCGAGTGTGGGAGTGTGGGACCCTTCCTAGACCCGGCTCGCGAGGATACTTTGGCTGCATTCCGTTCGCGTGATCTGATTTGATTTTTTTGAAGATCTGGTATAAGCTAAAAAAACGAGTTGAACGGAATACAGCCTTTGTGCCCTAGGCTACCCTTTTAGTCAATTAGTTGGCAGACTACTATTGCATTCATGAGCAAAATCTTTGTTAGTGACTTAAATGTAATTCAATGTGGTTATCCATGTTTTAGTGAAGGGTAATTTATTGATTACGGGGTTGTAGTATTAATCTGAAGGGAGGGAAAGCTTAGTTGAAGTTCATCCGAATTAACATTGAAACTGAAAGGTTTAGTTCAAATTGTCTTGATGTATAAATATTCTACAAATATTTTGACCGGCGAACAGATCACAAGAAGGATAGATGAGTGAAAGAGCTGTACCTAGAAGGGAGAGTCCATGGGGTTTACCTGAAGGTGACACCAGACAACCAAAAGCCCACAGGTGCAACGACCGTGCTGAGGATGTCATCCAAGTAATTGAACCTCTTTGAATCTAAATATTTCCTTCTTTTCGTCTTCTTCTTCTTCATCTCCCACTTCTTGTATTCAGTTGTTGAAATAAAATTGTTGTTTGGATTAAGGATTTGCTTTTGCCGTGTGGTGTACCTAACAACAGCTCAGACTAAGACATAAAAACACACCAACAGAGCTAAGACTCACATGTCTACCCAAACTATAATCCTTAGTGTCCATGTGTTCCTAAGTTTATTATATTCTTATGCACCTAAGTTTATCTTATTTTCTCCCGAAGTAGTTTGGAGGAATACCTGATTTGTGAAATACAAATAATTCACAAGAACCAGTTTTAGGTCTTGTTGCTATCTGGAGGGTTAAAACCTATAAATGTATTTGTGAAAGGGGAATTGAAACTTGAATGATTAAATGTGTTGAAATAGTAGTGAAGAATACACACACAAGGAAAATGCTAAAACCTATTGGTTCTATTTGTTTATGATTAAGCTAGTGAATCAATGGATCTGTCTATCATAGTATCATCTACACTATATTTAACTAATCTGTAAAAAGAAAGAATTTCCAACGGAGGTGGCCTCTCTGTTTTTTAAGGTATGGCTGCCCCCATCTTGATCTCCAAATCCGTTTCACAAGCACATATTCCACCATTGATAAGCCCAATTTCCCCCCACAAAATAATCCCTTTTATCCGGTTTTATTGGTTATATAAAGAGAAGTTGACATTTAGCAAAAGCATCTAATGAATTATGAGTTCAATACAGCTTGTTTAGCCGAAAGACAGCTTTTCCTTGCTCTTCCTATCCCAAATTGCACAAGAAAGACTATTTATGGGACAGAGGTTTGCGTAAAATGTTGGGAAAACCTCCCCAATGGGCTTGAAATTAAACTGAGCTTGTTGCCATTGTTGTTGAAAGTCGCAGGATCCTTCCTAATCAATGATTCTCTTGGGACTTTTTTTTGGGTGATTTTGTTTTATATATCTTCAACATTTTACAGGCATGCTTTGAAGGGAACCCATTCAAAACAGTTCCCGGCCCCTTCAAGTTGTTCTGGCAATGTATGCGTTCTAAACCCGGGTACGATAATCAATCATTCTTCACTTTGAGTTGACATTTCATCAAGTTGCTCATTTTGCTAATTGTGTTGTATCATACAACACCAATTTAGTCATTTACACACCACAGATGACAATCATTTGTAAACTTGTACACAAAATATATCGTGTTTGAGTACAGAGTTTACATACGATTATGTCTTGTGTGCGCACAAAATTTACATACGCTTGTCATCTGTGGTGTCAAAGTTGTTATTCTAGCATTTTGATATTTTATTATTATTATTTTTATTGGCATTGCAGAGAAGAGCCCACAGAGCCATACACTTATTTGCAGTTGGATCCACCAAAGAGGGAAGTAAAGCTCGAGTGAAGCATAGATTATCAGAAAAGTAAAGCTAAAAAAAAATGTGTTGTTTTTTCTCTTGTTTTTTAATGTGGAAATAAGAATTAAAAAAAAAGACAGAGGTGTTTATGCTGAAGGATGACATTGTTGTACTTGATTAAGTGAGAGCATGTTGTCTTGCATAGTTGCATTGAATGATCTTTTGTACAAAAAAACCTTTTATTCTAATCTTTTCAATATATCTCTATCACCTGCAAAAAAAGTGGTGTATAAATGTAGTAGGGTGGCAATGCTAGGGGTATACCAACATGGAGTACCCCATTTGTATATTAAGCTAACACAAACATAAAATGTCTATATTACGTGTCTGTGTTAGTTTGGTGTACAAATGAGGTATTCCATGTTGGTGTACCCCTAGATTAATTCAATGTAGTAACATGTAAAAGAAGAACATACACTTGAAACATTTCAAACAAAAGCCTACTTCCATTCACAAAAGTTTTAGTATTTTATTTTTTCGTATGTTCCTTATTTTTCTTTTTTTTAGAAAAGAAAAAATAGCCCAAAATATTTTCATTTAAATACCTTTTAAATTTTAACCACTTTTTATTTCTTTGTATTCAATATTTTTTCATATTATCTAATAGTAGCGTTTAATTTTTGCTTTATTTATAGTTAATTTGATCATTGAAAAATAAATAAAAATACTAACGACAATTGAAAACATTACTACTATCATATCAAAAAAGTCTTGTAATTGGTAATGTTATTGTGGTAATGTCTTTATTCAATGGCCGAGTTTTTATTCATTGTTTCTAAAAAGAAAGGTTAAAAAAGGGATTAAGAGCAACTAATTTATCCAAAAGCGCCATTTGATTTCACACATTTGTTAGATTACCAACCATAACGCCAAAAAAGTCAATCTCCCATTCCTATTTTGATTAAACTTCGCAAAAGTAGAACTAGTAGTATTTGTTAGTTTCACAAATCTCTTTTAAAGCAACCACCAATGGTGCAGTTTAGATTTTAGATTTCGAGTTCGAAGCCCGATGACGAGGGGCAACCATGCAAAGCATGATGCCTCTGCAAATACCAAAGACAGAATCCGATCCCTACGCACGAAACCCCATCCTTACACCGAATTAATGAGATTATAGCTCAATTTACCTTCTCCCAGCGAACGATTAAGCCGATACTGAGGGGCCTTTGGAGAGGATTTCATCCTTTTGTTTAGACTTTAGATATTTAACTTCATCTTATTAACATCAATACCTTTTTTCCTTCATACCACCACTCAACGAGGATGGACATGGTCCGGTTCCAAGTTCAAAACTAGCAATTTTCAGTATCTAAAATTGAGAAACAAGATTTTTTAAAAAAACTGGTATGACGGTTCAATACCGGATTGGGTTGATCGACGATTCTAATTCTGATTCATTTAGGAGTATTATTTTTTAAAAGTAAATATAATTAGCAAAAATTACAATTGGATAATGGATTGAACAAATATATGCAAATTCTTTTAGGTAGTGTTTGGCAACTAGGATTTCATTTCAATTCATGTATTTCAATTCTAAAATTTGAAATCTTGAATTCCAAATGACAAGAAGTGTATGGATTTAAAATTAAGCTTTGTTATGAATGAGAAGAATTTGATTCAAATCCAAATTCCAAATTTGTAAGTTTCCCAAACATGAAATTTGAGCCAAATCCGGATTTGAAATCCAAATCCATGTTCCCAAACATACCATTAATAAAATTAATTTAATATTAAATTGTAAATACAAAAAACTAAAATGGACGAGAAGTCAGAACCGGAATCATCAGTTTCGTTTCCAAAAATAAATAAACTAAAATCACATTCCTATTTCTCGATTCTGATTTCGCTACCGTTTCCTCACATGTGAGATTTATTTTTGTTCGAGTTTTGAATTAACATGAACATTACGAAGTATTTTTTAGATTAGATAACTCTGAGGTTCAAATTTGTGATCTCTAAGTTTGCAAGACTTTAATAATATGTCAAAGAACAAACTCAGCGATTTTTTTGAGTAGTATTTGTTCATATCATTCTTCAAAAATGCCATAAGAATCTTTTTTGAAGGAAAATAAATTAAACTTTAATCTGACAATTAAAAAAAGAGTAGAAATCCACATGTAACTTGCCTCTCTCATCCGTGATCAGCCTAGCCCTGTCAAGGTTTAATTCCCTTTCCTATTCTCAAATTATTTTTTTTTATGTAACCCAATCAAGAGTGTTATTCAATTTTAGGTTCTCATTACTTTTAATTACCCAACAGTAAACTTTAATGGGTCAAAAGTCATATAGTGAAAGGGAAACCCACATAAAACTACACACCTTCTCTTAAACAATATGGAGTAGAACTTCTCACATAAAGACATATGCACAAATAAATTGATCTTAAACTGTCATATTTATTACAGTCATTACAAATGGCACATAAATGATCATGGTAAGTAAATTGGTAACTTTCCTCCAAAAAAGTAAATTGGTAACTGTTCTGACTTTCAACGAGGACAGAATGGTAAATTCGCATGCGGTCTCAGGGAGTAGTTAGCAAGTCCCTCCTCACTTCCCATTCAAGTCCCTTACCTGCAAAGTTTTCTGCAAAGAAGAAAAAAAGAACAAAGAATCCTCTTTTATTTAGCCTATTACTAACAAATGGTTGGTCATATTTAAGCAGTATCAGTGTTTAATTTGCTCCAAGAACAATTTTTTCAACCTTTTTGATTCTCAAACCCAGTTTAAATAAGCTGGGGTTTTGAGAAAAAAAGGGGTGTTTCCGATTGGAAATGTCTGTGAAGACCCGAGGAGGAGGAGGCGGCGGCGGCGGCGGCGGCGGAGGCGCCGCCGGCGGGAAGGTTTCAAGAAGCGGCCTTTCTAAAAATTGGACCATTTTTCTGTGTATAAGCAGTTTCTGTGCCGGAGTGTTTTTCACCAGTAGGTAAAAAAGTTCACTTTTTTTTGAAGTTTAGGAAAAATTCTTGCAAATACCAAGATTGCATAATTTTTACCGGCTTTCCCAGAAATTCAATTTTTTTACAGTAATAATCCAAGAGAATTTTTAGTTTACTTGGATCACCCAATTTCTGTGTCAAATGCAATAGTGGAATATTCGTTTAAAATCTCTTATTTTTTGTGAGTATTGAAATCAATTTTTTCTTAAATTTGTAAAATACAATTTCAAATTCATACCACTCTATGGGAGTAATAGTTCATTTTTATATGGTCTGGTTTTGGTACTTTCCTGAAAGAATTCTGAGCTTTGAGTGATTTTGAGGTTTTGTGAAAACTGGGAATCATGGAATATGATGCTTGTGGCGCTTTTGCCCCCCTTTTTACCTGCAATTTGTTCTATTTGTTTGCCGAGTATTGTCTAAAGGCCAGTTTGGTTGGCTGAAATGGCTTGTGTCAATTTAATTCTCACAAAAGAAATGATAACATCCATTTAATCAAAATGTAAGCAAGTCATGAATGTTTAGAGCAATTTGATTCCATTATTATTTTATGCTCATATAAATGTGCATATTATATGTCGAGGGAGACCTGAATTTAAATATTTTGCTTTAATAAAAGCATATAGGACCAGTATGGTAAGTGAAAGATGAATAATATGATGTGGTTCTGAAATCTAAAAAAATGATATGCGTTCTGAAATCTAAAATGGAAGTGTTTGGAGAGATGAGATTATGGTTGTTAGTGATAGGTGAGGGTGGCTGACGGTTGAGGGAGATGTCCAAACCCCCGGATCGGCATCTCCCGAGTTTGGGTGGAATCAAATCAATCCCATTTGGGAGGGTTTTATGGAAATCAAATCCGAAACATGTTTAGGTCTCAAGGGTCTTTAGTTTCTTCCTTTTTTTCTTTTTAACTTTCCAGAATTAACGACTATTTTTAATTTCTGGCAGATTATGGTCCATTCATGAATCACAAGAAATCAGTAAACCACCTACTTCTGGAGATGAAAGCTTGAAGCTTGTTTCACAAGATTGCAATGTGAGTGAGGATCTTGGAATTCCCTCAGCTTCCTTTGGACTTTTTTTTTGAAATTTGAATTGAGAAAACCATAACTCACAATTTGATGATATTGAAATGGGTCATTTGATTTGTAGGTGAACATAAAAGCATTGAAAGGTGTCTTTGGGAAAGATTCTAGAAAACATGATTCTATCAAGTAAGTTTCGATCATCCCATTTCTTTCTTACATGATAGCTTAAGACTTGACTTGTGAATGATAACTGAATACACATAATAGTAAAAATTCTTTTTTAGTAGTTGTATGACGACAAGAGGTTTTTTTATCAATAAAGATTCTTTTTTTAATAGTTGTATGACTCAATGAGCTTTACACCTTTTTTTTGCAGAACATTGGACAATGCCATTTCAAGCCTAGAAACTGAGATGGCTGTGGCTACTGAGTTAGAGGACACTGAGAAGAATCCCACATACAAAGAACGAAGAAAATATTTTATGGTAATAGGAATAAATACTGCATTTAGCAGCAGAAAACGAAGAGATTCTGTCCGTGCTACATGGATGCCACAAGGTTTTCTTGCCCGTGACATTATGCCAATGTGCTGTTTCTTTTCTCATCTTCATTTATTTAAGTTTATTTAATTTATTTATTTTTGGTTATGATACATTAGGTGAACAAAGGAAGAAACTCGAAGAAGAGAAAGGAATTATAATTCGCTTCGTCATTGGGCACGGGTTGGTCTACACTCTCATTTATTTTGCACCATTTTCCTTACACATTTTGAAATCCGTGTGCTACGCTTCATATGTTAAATCTACATATTAATACTTAAATACTACGGAGTAGTATATTGTATGTGTGATTTATCTCTTAACAATGCAAACCTTTCCTTGTTATGCTTGAACCCCAATGCATGTTCATGCTACCAAGTGGGGGCAAATTCTGCGTAAACTCACCCTCCCGAGACCATACTTTCCGTGGGATTTTACTGGGGTTTTTGTTTTTGTTTTTGAATCACTTTTATCTGTTTGTAGTGTCACACCAGGGGGTATACTTGACAAAGCTATTGATTCCGAAGATAACAAGCATGGAGATTTCTTGCGACTGGTAAACACCTTTTTCTCTTGTGGAGGACGAAGTCTTCCTAAGTATTCTCTTCCAAAATCTCCCCAACCCCTCCATCCAAACGGACCCTTAACGAGTGGAAAATCAAACGTTCTCTTGTTGTATGTGTAGGATCATGTGGAAGGGTATCTTGAGTTGTCTGCCAAGACCAAAATGTACTTTGCCACTGCTGTGAAGCTATGGGATGCAGAGTACTACATCAAAGTTGATGATGATGTTCTTGTAAATATAGGTAACTAGCAAAAATTTTCTTGCGAGTATAAAAAATACCAATTTAGGGAAACAATATGTTTTTTTTTGGAGAAGCCCTCAAATTCGAAACAAAAAAAATGTGCATCTTTATACTCAGTTGTATTCTTGCAGGAACACTTGGGGAAACACTAGCGAGACACCGTAAAAAACCTCGTGTATACATCGGGTGCATGAAATCCGGTCCGGTCCTATCACAGAAGTGAGAAAATTCTTCACTATTGTTTGTCATTTGAATTATGAGTTTCTGTTACACTGTGTTTGGTTCAAGGAATTTGAAAAGGAAAAAAAGGGAATGTAAAACAGTTTTTCTTGTTTGGTTAGGGAGAAAAAGAAAAGAACAGTGGATGGAAAAGAAAACGAGAGAAGAAAATGAAGAAGGAAAACACTATTCCTTCCATTTTGACGAGGAAAAGGAGAGAAATCATTTTCTTTTCCATTCCCTTCAAATTGCGTGAACCAAACATAGCGTTAAGGTTTGAAATCGAATAATAGAATAACAATAATTCCGGGAAATTTATGCTTTAGCAGTTTCGCCCCAGGAGTGACATTTAGGTTGACACCATCAGGGACAATCCACACATATATAGTCATTGTCTATGAGAAATTATTGTCTATAAAACACTGAGACTTTCAATGTTGTTGTTGAACAGGGGAGTGAAGTACCACGAACCGGAGTACTGGAAATTTGGGGAATATGGAAACAAATATTTCCGCCACGCTACGGGACAGATATATGGGATCTCAAAAGACTTGGCTATATACATTTCCACAAACCAGTTAATAAAAGCACAGTTTTGATGTTTGATGCCCTTACTTAGTTGACACACCAGAATTGTTAGTAATCATCCTTTGGTTACAGGCATATGCTGCACAAGTATGCGAATGAGGATGTTTCATTGGGTTCTTGGTTGATTGGTCTCGACGTGATGCACATTGACGATCGCAGGCTGTGTTGTGGAACGCCACCCGGTAACGAAATCTTATCCTCCCTTTGCTGCAGTGTTTTCTTCTTTTGGCCCCGTGTAGGCCACCCCCACCCCCGGGTGTCTAACCTTCTTCTAATGACGCGCTTCATTTTGTTCAAATTTTTTTGGGTCATACTACAGTTACACCATGGATGACACCAAGGTTGGTATTGCCAGTATTTCACAGGCAATGATGTCTTACGACAAAAAAAGTATCTTTGAGTGTCATGGTCTCTGTTGGTGTCAATCTTGGGGGTATCCTTGTGGCTAAATTAGCATTGCCTAAATTTTTTAGAGTGGAGGTAAAACATTCCCAACCCTCCTCTCTGACCAAAAACACCCTTAATGGATGGATGGACTCGAGACACAATTTCCCCAACAAAACATCTACACTGTGTTTGGTTCAAGGAATTTGTAATGAGAAGAAAAGAAAATCGTTTTCTCTCATTTTCCTCACCAGAGTGGGAGGTATTTGAATTGGTATTCCCTCCTCTTAGTACATTTTGCCTTTTCATTTTCTTTTCCTTCCATTTTTCTTTTCTTTTCCTCTCTAACCATACAAAAGAAAAATGTTTTCCTCCTATTTTCTTACCAAAATCCACAAACCAAACACATATTACAATAACAACAAGAAACCCAGTATAATCCGGGCCCTGTTTGGATCACGGTGCACGCAATCTTACCCCAATAAAAAACTGGGAGACTATTCGACCCTTGATCCGTTATTTACTGTCGAAAACTTTATAGTAAGTGAGAAACAATAGAAGTTTAATGTGTCATTCTGATTTTTCTCCATTATTAACTTGAAGCCTTCAAAACATTGTCAAAAGTGGTTTTTTTTCCTTCTTAAGCTACATTGGCAATGCACACCACCCTAGAAAACATTAAAAAAAACTAAAAGGAGAAAAGGCAGTGAACCATTCAATTACATACTCCCTCAGTCCTAAAATAAACTTTGTGGTTTGACTTCACATAATTCAAGAAGAAATGTTAAAAAGTGATAGGCGTATGATTATAATTTATTTAGAAGAAAGAAAACGATCTGAACACTTCTTCTTCTTCTTCTTCTTCTTCTTCTTCTTGTTATTGTATGCACAGATTGCGAGTGGAAGGCTCAAGCGGGCAACATATGCGTTGCGGCATTTGACTGGGCATGCAGTGGGATATGCCGACCGGTGGATAGGATCAAGGACGTCCACCAGAGGTGCGGGGAGGGAGAAAACGCTCTGTGGAATGCCACAACTTTCTGAATGATGAAACTGCCACTTAATGAAATCACACGAAGTATACGTATAGATACACATAGAGAGCGATCGAGAGATAGGAATTTTTATCGCAGATGGTCTGTCATATATAGCAGCATGTTTTTTTATTTATTATTATAGCAGCATAAATAATAATAAGAATAATACTACCATATCTATAGTATAATTAGTGAATGCAGATCATGTGTTAATTCTGCAAAAAAAAAGTTGAGTACTTTGCTGTCATAGTTAGTGATCAAAGTAGAGCATTTGAGGAGTTAGATATACCAGACAATATAGCTGTTTGAGGTTTCTTGCAATTAATGTTGATGAAGCTTAGGAATAGAATCTGTTTTGTCTAAAAAAGAGATTTGAAATAGTTGAAGTATGTGTGTGTACTCACTTTATTTTGGCATAGTAAGATTTTTTTTATTTAAAATTTGAGTAATGCTAGAGTCACAAACAAAATACTCTTAAAATATACTCTCTCCGTCCCATAAAGTGTTACCCATTTTGACTAAAGTTGAAATTAAGAGAGGGATAATTTTGTGTTGACTTTCCAAAAATACCCTTGATGTGATGGGTAAAAGTAGGATGTGATGTGTAGATTATTAGGAAAAAGGTATGATGTGATAGGTAGGGTTTGAAAAAGTAAGGGGTAAAAGTGGTTTTTTAATAGAAATGGGTAAGGGATTGTGGGACACAATTTTTTTGAAACGTGTAAATCTTTTTGGGACGGAGGGAGTACAAACTTACCATTTGTGTATTTAAGTTTTTTATTTTTTAATTAATTAAGACCATTATTTGGAATTTGGAATTACTATTTTACATCATTGATACGATGTAAAATATTTCTCAATTTATATTGTCTATTTTGATTTACGATGTTTGATTGGATTTATTTCTAAATCATTTTATATGAAAAATATGATAGAATTTAAAAATAAAAATTACATATTAAAATATCACATGATTTTTTTAAAAACTACTGGCGATATGACTATTCAATTTTATCAAATGACTAACGAAAATAGAGAAAAAAATTGAATGAAGTTTGACCATGTGAATACTAAATACGTAATTTAATTTGAGACGGAGGGAGCATAAGATATCGATGATTTGACACCAACACTTGATGTTATAATAAGAAACGAAGCCATTTGAAGGTGTAACAATGTTTCCAGATTACACTTAGCCCTTCGGGATCCCTGATATGCTATAGGATGATAGATATCAAAAATTAGACCGTACCCCCTTTTTTATGTAAGGAAATTGTTTATAAGTGAGCGGTGTCAAATTAGACCGTACCCCCTTTTTTATTTATCAAAAATCAGTGATCTATTTTCTTTATTCAATAAATAAACAACGATGAGTGATCTAAAATAGCATTAGTTATATTAATGAGTGACAAACTACTTTTAATAACTTCACATTTCAACTTCATTCCTCAAAGAAAATAGACAATTAGGAGTACTAAATAAATAAAACAGAGAGTACAATTTTTTTATCATCTCATTTATTTAGTGTCGTACTATCACCACCACATTCTAATTTTCCTGCTCATTGGTAACAATGCAACAATAATGTCTTATAAACAACAAATAACTAGATTATTAGGCAATTGAGGCAAAAACATTTCTTTAAAAAAAGCAAAAATATTTGATAAATTTCAAATCACAATTTTGAATATATACCCTTCAAAAAAAGTTTGAATATATGAATAATCACCCTGTTTCACAAAACAATTTCTCTTTCTTTCTACTCACAAAATACTTCTACTTTCAATTTAAAAGTCATTTTTACCCCTTTTAAACATTATACTCCCTCCGTTCTAATAAAAACTTCCTAGTTTGACTTGGAGCCAAAATAAAGAAGTGTTAAATTATAGTTGATTTCCAATTTTGCCCATGATGTGATGGGTAAAAGTAAGATGTGATGAATAATTTATTAGAGAAAAAGTATGATGTGATAAGTAGGGTATGAAAAAATAAGGGTAAAAATGGTTTTTTAATAGAAAGTAGAAGTGTTTTATTGGAAGTGAAAAAATGAAAGAGGAAGTATTTTTGAGAACGGATGAAGTACCGGAGTATTACTTTTTTGAAAGAGAGGGATATATAATTCATCTTATGACATTAATTTTTTGTTAAGAAATTAAATATCATTATACATACGAAAACATATACCACCATCATTATCAAACCATGAACAAAAGAATTACCGCGCACTGTGTAATTAAATAAAGAATTAACCTATATGTCATTTAATTTGGATCTAATAACTTCAACCACATCAATTAAAGTTCAAAAAAATATGAGATCAATGATTAAAAACCCTTTGACAAATTAAAAATTAACCCAATATTCTACCCACAAAACACACCCTACACAAAAACACAAATTAAAGTTGTTAATAAATTATCAAAACGCACGTGATATTGGCACGGCTCAATAAAAAAGAGGAGCTCAAAAACATTTTGAGCCTTACTTTCTCATTGAACCGCACTAATATCTCGTGCACACGTACATTTTTATACACAGAACGTAACCCACTCGGGCCAAAAGCTCCTCGCATCGTAACGTGAGGCCATCACCGCCGCCCGTAATAGTTCACCTCAATGTATACATATATGAAGATGAACTTAACAAAGCATGAATGAGAATGAAGAGGTAGCTAGAGAATTTGGAGAAGAGAAAGAAGAGAAATGAAGAGTGTAGTTGAGGTGAGGGAGAGTATGATAATAATAATAATGCTTAATAAAAATGGGAATATAAGAAAAAAAAAAGGTGGGGTGGGGGTGGGGGGTTGGCATTAAGTAATGGTTCAACTACTTGAGAAGAAAGGGAGTTGGAAACAATAAGTGAAGGGAGGTGGGAGGAGCCTGCAGGAATCCTGAGAAAAGTGATCACTCTCAAGAGGGAGACAAATCTGAGGAGGTATTAATGCCCTTGCATTTATTATTTGTATGGAGTAGGGCAGAGGATGTTGGTTTGGTTTGTTACATGAACATGATGATCATACACACACACACACACACACACACATATATACACACACACACACACATACATACATACTCCCTTCGTCCCTATATAAACTTCTCCTTTCGTTTTTTCTTTGTCCCCAAATAAACTTCTCTTTTCCCTTATTGTTTGTACTTGTTGCTTGTACTTGGTGCCTTATCTGTGCTATACTGTGTTTTCTTCCATATTTTTGTGCAGGTGGAGCCGAGGGTCTCTTGGAAACAGCCTCCCTACTTCCGAGTAGGGGCAAGGTCTGCGTACACACACCCTCCCAGACCCTACTGTTGTGGGATTCAACTGGGTTGTTGTTGTTGTTGTTGTTTTCCCTTAAATAACCCTTTTACCCCTTACTTTTTCATACCCTACCTATCACATCATAGTTTTTTACTAATAATCTACATATCACATCTTACTTTTACACATCACATCAAAGGTACTTTTGGAAAGTCAACACAAAAATATCTCTTACTTAAATCCTCAAAAAGTCAAAAAGAGAAGCAGGGCCGGTCCTGAGGATTCATCAGCCTGGGCCGAAACAGAAAAAAGACCCTAAAAATCTTTTATTTAATGGTCTAAAAAATTCACATATGTAAACTAATTATATCTAAATTATAATTAACGCAATATTATTAAAAGAAAAAAATAAATAACAAAAATTCATATCAATTCAACAATTTTTCAGTTTTTATTTTTTTTTAGTTTTCAGTTTTTTTAAATATAAATATATAATTATCATAAATAACAAATTCAAAACAATTCATCCAAAATCAAATAAATACTACGTAACATATAGAACCATTCATTAATTCTATTTCAAAGAATGAAATTAGAAAAGATTTCAAATTTAAAACTAATAACTAACCCTAGATTTTAAATCTAAATAATGAAACAATGAAAGAAAATTAAGATTTAAGAAATAAATTAATAAAAATTACAAAATTAATTGCCTGGAGGCGCGGCGACTCGGAGTCCGACGGTGGAGGCGGCCGGAGGCGACTCAATCGGCAGTTTCGGCACTTGCACACTTGCACGTTTCTGGCACGTCGCTTCTGGTTTCTTCGTCACTGAATTCGATCGGCACTCTGCGTCTCTTCCATTCCGTATTTCCGTTCTTTTTTTGGTTTAAGTTAAGAACTTAAGGCATTGGTTATTTCCGTTCTTTTTTTTTTGTTTAAGTTAAGGACTTAAGGCATTGGTGGACTAATGGATTGGGTCTGGGCTTATATACATATACATACATACATATATATATACATACATATATATATATATATATATATATATATATATATATATATATATATATATATTACTAAAAAAAATTTGTGCCCCAAAAGTTTTGGGCCCGGCCCGGACGGCCACCTTGTCCCCTATATGGGCCGGCTCTGAAGAGAAGTTTATTTAAGGACGGAGGGAGTATAATATAGGGGTCGGTTCACGTGAGAATGCACCTTGACGAAAGAAATAAGAATAAAATCTAGCCTTTTGTTTTGATGCATCGTGCGGCTCAGATTGCATCATGCGCTCAAATTTTGAGATAATGCATTTTTCAAGGATTTTAGTGCATTTTGACATGACGCATTTTCAAACCATTTTGGTGCACCTAATTTTGATGCAATCCTGACCCTTAGATCTCACAATCTAAAACACCATATTCATTCTTATTTCTTTTATAAGATCGTATTCTCACCAGAACCAAAACCTACACACACACAAACTCCCTTCACCACAAAAATAGTCAGAGTTTATTTTTTGGTTAAACTCTGTCACCCTTTGACCGCGAATTATGGAAAAAATATATTTAGTTATAATGTAATTTTAGTAAAATTAGATTTATTTTAATATATTCTTGAAATATCAAATTTTTATAATATTCAACTATTTTAAATTTTACTCCGTATTTAATTCATGATCAAATGGTGTCACAATTAGACAAAAAAAATTAACTTGTGGCAATCTTTTAGGGACGGAAGGAGCGTTGCATGGGTCATATTTACGTTACTAAATTAAGATTTTTTTTAATGACATATGATGAAATCTAATACTCCCTCCGTCCCCAATTTGATTACAAATTGCGGGTTACGGAGTAAAATTTCCTACTTTTTGAAATCATTTTATTTACAAATTGGTATATCAATAAGATATAAAAATTACATATTAAAAAACTACGTCAAAAATTCTACAAAACAAGAGGTGACAATAATATTTTATTTTATCAAATACTTAATGAAATCGCGTAAACAAACAAAAGTTATTGAGAGGAGAGAGAAAAAAACTTGTAATCTATTTAGGGACGGAGGGAATAGAATATAGAGATTTTATTATTTTAAGCTACAAAAGTGTTTTGCTTACAAATTTCAAAAAACTTCTTTATAAACTATGTTATTCGAAAATGATCAAAAAACATGCATGCATCTTACTTTAAACAATTTCCGCAATAATTTAATTTGATAAAATAAAACAATGATATTACTATTTGTTTTGTAGAGTTTTTGATGTGGTTTTTTAAATATACATAATTTTTATTTTTAAATATTGTACTAAATTCCAATAATGTTGAGTTAAAAATAATTTAAGTCAAAATCGTAAATCGAAATATGAGACTTATTTTGGGAAGAAGGGAGTATAAAAAGTTTTTATTGATACAAATGTTTTGGTACTTCCGTATAATTTTTATATTT